TCCTTCCTTCCTTCCTTCCTTCCTTCCTTCCTTCCTCCCTCCCTCCCTCCCTCCCTCCTCCCCACATATAATATAGGCTTGTGCCACTTGCCCTCCCCTCATGATCCTCAGGAGAGTCCCAGTGAAGCCTCCCCCTCCTCCTCAGCTGACCCATGGAACTGCCTGCCATTTTGCTGGGGGGAGGTGGAACAAAAGGAGCTGCGGACTGTGAGGAAAACTGCACCTCCGCTCCCCACTCTGGCATGTCCCCAAGGGCCCCCTCTCTTGAGGGAGGAAGAGGGCTCACCTGTTGACCACCAGCACCCCCCAGCCAGCCCTTCCTCACCAGCAGGCATCCAAGTTGTTCCCTCATTCTTCCCTCAATGCCCACTGCCTTTAAGAGATTTCAAATTTCTGCCTTGTTTCCAAATCAGCCAATCGCCACTTGCCTGTTGGGCCTTGCCACCAACTGATTGGGCACAGGGGACAGAGGGAGGGAGGAAAGAGGTCGGGGATGCACCCATAACGATCACATGACCTGGGCTTTCCCAAATTTCAATCCAATGGGAGTAATGGGTCCCAGATTTTGGACGCATTCTGTAAGTTAGCCCATTTGAGGTACCTTGGTTCAAAAATTGTTGCCCTATGATGAACCATTTCACCCAGTTGAAGGTTACAGACATGACAGTTTTAGCAGTATATAGATTCTCTAGTAGGATAAGCTAATAGAAAAAGGATTTGATGATGAAAGGGAGTTTCTGCAAAAGGAATGGCTAAAATTGCAAGCAATTTCAAAGATGAAAAAAATGCAGTTGCAAAAGCTATAACTGCACAAAAAGGTTAGTGAAGATCTGAGAAGAAAAAACAATACATTTAGGAGTTAGAAAGAGATGAATTGCCACAAAATATATATACAGGTAGCCTAGAACAGTAAAAATATCAACAACTGATGTTTCAGTGGATGCCCCTTATTTTGACACACTGATTTCCAGGATTCAAGGGCAGTCAAAATAAGAGTTTCAATACAGTTCAGGACCAAAATCTGGATGGGAATTTCCCCATCCTCTGTAGCATAGACATTTATTTTGTAATTATAATTAGCATATATAGTACATTCCTCACAATGCCAAGTTCAAACATGCTTTGTTGTTGCTGTTCAGTCGTTAAGTCGTGTCCAACTCTTTGTGACCCCATGAACCATATCATGGCAGGCCTTCCTGTCCTTCACTGCCTCCCTGAGTTTGCTCAGTTTCATGTTCATGCTATGCTAGAATTATTTTATTACTATAAATAAAAATTAACTTACAATTACTCAGATTAGTATTTTAGGACAAATTTGCTTTTTATCTGTACAAATAATGAGTGGTTAAAATAGCACATTATGTCTATACCTATATAATTTACCTGAGGCTTAATGCATCTGCAAAAAGAAAGGAGGAATGCTCCCCGGGATATATGGCAGGATACTTTTGTTTTTTTGGGTTTTTTTACAGATTTGCAGCAGACGTCTGATATTGACCATCCAGTTCAAATGACTAAAGAAGTTAAGGAAAATAAAAGCAAAGGAAAAAAGTGACAAGGAAAAAAAGGAAGTTTCTAAATAAGCCCTCCAAGTTTGCTGCGCAAGAAAGCCTGGCCCTTTTTAAGGTGTCGCTCTTTATCTTCAGGTTGCTTAAGATGCTGGTTCTTGCGAAATTCTTGCCGGATCGAGGTGAAATAGAAATCACGATCAGTGTAGCGCAAGCCACGTCCTTGACGCAACAGTGCACGATAAAGGTTCAGCACAGCTTCACGGGTCCACGTTGCCATGGAGGATGAGTGGAAGAAGAGTGAACTGAAGATACACAGAACAGAGAAAATGAAACAATCTCTTTTCTTTGGGAATATGCAGATATTTCAGTTATGTTACATCTTTTCTAAGAGAATTAGCACTAATAAATCTAGTCATAAAAATAAATCCAGTAATTCATAGTAGTAGTATTACTAGTACAGTAATAACTAATAAAAAAGGAAATATCTGTGTGAAGTTCTGGTCATTACAAAATATTATCTTCATAAATATAACAGGGACATTAAGCTTCTAAATGATTCACAGTGCAATCTGCAATACTTTCATTTCAAACCTAGAAGGATCTTTCTTTCACCTGTTTAGCTTTTACCTATTTTATAGTGCCACTTCATCAAGTGAAGTGTTTCAAGTCTTTATGTGTGCTCAAATTCCTTCCTCGGATTCCATAACTTCTCAGCTTATGATGTTTTGTTTTTTTGCTCAACATTTTGGAATCTGAGCAGAATCCTGTTTTGTTTAACTGACTTGCTCTCCATTTTCACATCGGCGTTATGGGTAGCAATTCAGCAAGTCTTAGAGAGAGGGGCATCCTCAGTTAGAAATGTATCTAGGCTCGCCTTAACTTCCCCCCCATCGGTAAGGAAATAAATAGATGCCTCTTGGTAAAAATATATGGACATATTTTCCACAAAGTTGGCTATGAGCTCCTCGAGCGAGTCCCAAGACGTAAGTAATATGACTAAGCAGCCTGTGGTAGAAGTCTCCTTCCACAGGGGAAGGGGGGGGGGCGCTCAAGAAAAAGAGGTGCCTAAGAAGCTGAAAGGCCCTCACAGGAATCTAGAAAGATAGAAAACGTGTCCTCCTTCACTTCCACCCTCCCACTACTCCGAAGATCTCACGAATATAGACACCTGGGGGGGGACCACGGACAGGTGGGTGGAAGCATTCCTAGGACTCACCCGTGAGAGGGTGGGAAATCCGGCAAATCGGCGGCGGTAATAACACGGACGGACTCCACTTCCGATATCTTACAGCAGAGCCTCCGTCGCGCTTCAGAGCCGTCCACCCCACCTCTTTCCGTTACCGGCAGAGCTCCCGGGGTCAAACAACAATATGGCCACTTCACTTCCGGTGCATGGCCCGTTCACCATGGAAACGTTCTTCCCTTCCGAAGAGAGCCGAACGGTTACACAGAAAGTCTCAGCTGCTATTCCGTCAATGTGCGAGAAGGGGAGGGGGGCGGGGCGAGGCGAGGCGGAGAGCCTTAGACTCCTGGAGGGATCTCATTAAGACGACCGGATCAGGGAGGCAAGAACCCGGGCGAGCCGTGAATGGCCGCAAAGGGTTGCGTTTACCTGTATGTCTTTGCTGCCTTCTAGTGGTCGTCCGGGTAGTTCGAATTTCAGTCATTCTCCCACGCTGATGCCATTGAGATGTGTAAGAACTACAGCCACCCGCATTTCCAGCTGCTGGACCAAGGCCCATCCTTAAAAAGCTGCCTTCCCGCCACTTTCTTAAGTGACCATCTCTGAACAGCAAAAACCCAGAGATCCCCCAGGGACCAGTAAGGATTTTCCTCTTTGCTGCCATGGTTTGGTCGACTAAGTTTTGCACGTCAAATGGCTTTCCAAGATTTACTGTTACGGAGATCCATCCGGTTTAATGTTCATTTTCGGTTGTCAGAGGGGACAGATATAGATCTGATGGACTTTAGTTGCAGAAGAAAAAAAATCAGTTAAACATCATGAAGAATTTATTAAAAACAATTCTATTGATTTATAATTGGAACCAATCATCTGCTTTAGTAGGTTCTCTCTGAAAATACTGTAGCTCTGATTTATTGTATCAAGTAAAAAGTGGATTCAATGGCCACACCAGCAGTTCTCAAACCTTTGGTCTCAGGACCCCTTTACATTCTTCAAAATGATTGAGGACCCTAAAGAGCTTTGGCTTATGTGGGTTATATCTGTTGATATTTACTTATTAGAAATTAAAACAGACATTTTAAAATATTTATTTGTCTTCGTGGACCCCCTGAAAGGGCTTCAGGGACCACCAGGGATCCCCAGGCTACACTCTGAGAACCACTGGCCTACACAATTCTTTTCTAATTCTGTGGCTTGGTTTGGATGACACTCTTGCCAGCCACATTTTAGCTGTATTAGCTCAGCTTCTGCCACGTTTATGGTCAGAATGTCCTGTGAGTGCAAATATGATTTAAATTTCAGCAGGAGCTGATAGGTATCTCTCTCTTTTTTATAACTCTTTATTACTGATTTCAGAAATTTGGTGTTGACTGAAATTGAGTTAAACTGAGAAAAACTGGAGATGGGCCATAAAGGTTTCTTTCTCTTCATAATTTAAACAATATTCAGATCTATTCTGAATCCAAATTGTTGCCAAATTATCTTTCACTAACCCTCCCAATTCAGTGGCACTGACTGTAGGACTGAACTGTAAATCAAATACTTAATACCCACAATCTGACATAACTGTAGAATTTTATGAAGGTGCAAAGGCTATTGGGGTATTCAGTATTAGTAATAAATATTAGCTTCAGGCTTTGAGAAGACTAGTTAGCAGAAAAAGTCAACAAGAAAGCCTTGTTTCTTTTTATAATAATCGTAAATAACAATTTGTGTGTGTGTGCACAGGAATTAGGAGGAAGAATGTTTCTGGACTGAAAACAGGAGAGTATATGCACAGGAGTTAGGAGAAAGAATGTTTCTGAACTGAAAACATAGCTGTACACGCATATAGATACAAAAAATGTAAGAGAAGAAATAGACCATGTTTCCTTTTGAAAGTACCTTAAAATAATAATTATATATACATATGCACTGTTTATGTATTTCTAACATTTCCTCCACATGTAGAGGATTTTCCCAGTTGCATATCCACCGACTACTGTTGGAATGAAACTCACATTTTCTTTGAGAGATCAACTTTGAGATCATAGAGACAAAAGACAACATGATAGAAAGCCACCAGGAGGATTTCTGAAGTACACATGAAGCACTTTTCTTTTTTTTTTTTGCTGGCAATAGATTAGGAAGCATGCTTGAGTCAAATCAACAGCACCGCCTTCTGGCTGTTTTATGGAAAATGAACATTTTCAGAACAGAAATTAAGAAAACATAAACATGCAGTGGAAACAGTCATGTACTCCACTTGTTTTTTTGGTGCACAAACAGACAAAAAGTTAAGAGCATCTTACAACCTTGGGAAGGTTGGATTTTATAGAACTGGGCCTTCCCTGGCCTTAAGAAGGAAAGATCTTTCCTTTTTGTTTAGTTCTGCTCCCTAGTTTGTGGAAAAGGCAAATAATTTAATTTAACAAATATTGAACATGCTGTAATTCTATCCTGTTCTCATTAGGACTAAAATGCAGCAAAAATGGGATATATAGTTTTTTTCTTTCCTAAGTTAAGAATGTAAACTTGCTTCTGAAAATGTTCATCATGTGAGTTTTATTTAAGTAGAGCTCAACACATCCTTTTCCATGAAGTCTCTCCATCAGGGGTGCTGGACATTAGCTTTGATATCACTCATCACTAAATTGCCAAGTTCTTCCTGGACTGTTCCAGCAAGACTTTTGTCAGTTTACCTAAATAATTTGTACCTGTTAGTATTTCAGATTCATAATTACCTAAATTTGTTGTGCCTGTTAGTATTTCAGGTTCATAATTACCTTCTGTTTTGGTGAAAGCCTGATTTTTAGGAAGGTTACTGTAGGAGATTTCCATACTGTATGTGTAATTATATGTGTAATGGCTAGGTTTGCGCAATCCCCTGAACTTCATAAGCTGGGTTCATACAAGACACTGAGGCACAAACTAGCCAACCATATTGTAGCCTAATGTGTTGTGTAAACTCAGTCAAAGTATCTTGAAATCTTAAAGGCTTACACTGTTACAGTATTATGGCACAGGTAAGTTAAATACTTCAAAATTTCTAAGCACTATTCAACAAAGGTGATCCTGGCATTTTTTTCTACACATGCATAAAACCAGTTATTTCAGTTCTAATAATATATTTATCAACAAAATGCTTTTTTCTTGTCACAAGTTCCTGTGAGTCATAGATCCATTTAGAATTTGACATGGTAGTTTTTATATCATTCATTGATTGGGATTAGACCTGCAATTAGGCTTTGAAAGTCTGGGCATGAAAAGATCAGAGATGGTTTGATGATTAGACAAGAGAGATTATAGAAAGAAGAGAGTCATGATGTAACTTTAGAGAGAGGTTAAAATATAATTGTACTTAACTGCTGTGAAGAATATCAGAAGCTACTTCTTTATACCTTTATATCTTTCTTTAAATCTTTCTCCTTTTTTTTCTATTTTCTTATTGCACTTCTAGCTTTTTCTGTTATTTCTCTCTTGTTCATTTTTTCTGTTCTAAATTAGTTTGCATTAGTCCTTATTATTGCTTTTATATAAAAAAAAGATTAGAGATGGATTATACTGTATTTACATTTGGATTTACAAGCTGGTCCTATATGCTAGGGCCAACATAAGGTTTTGATTGAAACATAAGGTTTTGATTGTCTAAGAAATGAATTTGCAGATGGTAAGATGTCATGCTTACTATCTCCTGCTGATCTCAGTATATAAAACACACATAGTTTGCAAAGAAGAGATGTTGTTGGCATTGGAGTTACTTACTGTGGAAAACTTCAGATTTTATTTCAAAATGGTGTTTTAGAATACATGGGGACATAAATGTAGCATTTGTGTCAACTATTTAAGGTAGCTGGGCCTTTTCCTGGAATCTTGCAGCTGCTTTAAAAAATTGCATACAAGAT